GATTTCAGTGTTTCAGATGGGAAGGGAGAAACAATCTGGCTTCACTCTGGCCTCACTCATCAAACTGGACATGATTCACACCCAAATCTTCCTATTGAGCAAACAAGGGTGAACATACATGATGAAGGGAATCCCATGGCAAGGGAAGATTTCCTTTCTTATTCTCAGATCCTTCCCTAGACCTTCCTTTCTCTTATAAAGACGGTAAATGGATTAGAGCTTTTCATATCTTGCTGTGTTGCTGAGGCGTGAATGGCTACATGCCTGCTTCTTGTAGATCCAGAAGTATACACTTATTCCAGTTCATCTTCCATTTTCATAATCCAAGTATCCTATCATTCATTGCCTGAGGAAATCCAACAGTTTTAGATCTCACACAGATGGCATTGGTAATCATCTTATATGGGCATCAGTCTTGGTTGATTTCACCAGCACATACACATCCAAGAATGTTCTAAATTCTGTCAGGGGTGATGATGGGCAAAGGAAAGGGAAAGGACAGAAACTATGAAGGGTAATGGGGCTTTACCCATTTTCTTCCTTTTGCTATTAAAGGAAAAAAACCGAAACTCCCATCTTTGAAATTCATTCATTAAGGAGTCTTAAAATGGTATGATTTGTACTACTGTATAATACAGTGCTTAGGAAAATAGGATATGAAGCTAAATAACCAAATATGAATCCCATTTCTCCTAGTTGCTGCTAAGTTGACTTTGAATAAGTTTTTCAGAAGGCATATGTCTTTTTCCCCCATCTTCTAAATGGCAATGGCTGTACTACATAGCACATAGTTATTATGAAGAATAAAGAAATTCTATACATGTAAGGAACAAAGAACAGTTTTGGAAACTAGTAATAATTCAATAAATGTTGGCTATTTTTATTATCTATTTTAAATGCCCATTTTCTTAATCATTATAACTTGAGATCCAAGACAGTTTCACCTCTTTTGAAAACTTTTCTCAAATATTCAGTCCTATTTTTATCCTGTAGAAATTACTGAACAGGGAATGTGTTAGCTGCAGAACCCTCCAGTACTTTGGGATCATTGCCCTAACAATTTTCCTATAAACATTCTGCCTCCAGATACACATGAGACTTGTGAGGACAAATACATTCTATACTGTACACTGCCACAGATTTTCTTTCCTTAGTTACCAATTGGCATGCAGTGAAAAGACTGAAAACTTAGTACTATGAGAAAACAATGAGGATTTATTCAGCTGACATGTCTACTGGAGGTCAACAGAACTGAGCTAGGGGGCTCTGCTTATCTCAGCTGAGCCTTTCAGCCATTTGTGGCTTAGCTGGTGGTCAGCTGACTAGGTCCTTGTCTTTCTCCTGTATGTGACACAGGTAGGCTGGGCACATTCTTCTCGTGGTGGTGGCAGAAGCACAAACATAGCTCTCTTTAACGCCTAGTCTCCATGGCACACTGCCACTTCTGATTCACTCTATTGGTCAAAGCAGGTCACATGATGTATCCCAAAGTCAAGAAGTGAATATATTCCTCCAGTGGAAGGTAAGGATAATAATTCTGAACAATAATTCAACTCAACAGAGACATTGTTACCTAATCACAATACTTGTTTGACTGTGCTTGAGTACAGCTTTGATACCCTTAGTGGCCACTATAATTACCAGGAAACCTGCTAGCAATGAGGGGAAGAGGAGAAAATCTAATTGAGACTTCTGGTTTTATAATTTTTCAATATTTTTTATAGAATAATAGCTCTGGACTTAAAATTCTACAATATAAAGTATCATATTAATATAAGTATTTTGAGAATGTTACATTTAGTTTTTCAAGTGTGATTTAGTTGAAAAAATACATACATATACACTAAACATAAATGAAAATGCCATTTGATTTTAACATATAATTTACTTACATGTTACTTATTTTATGAAGAAAACATCTAGAGTCTTTAATAGTATTTTACTTGTAAATATGCACATAATATTCACAATTTTGAAACCAACATGTACAGAACATATGTAAATGCTACAATGCCAAACACCACTTACGTAGATACTTAAAGTTCACTGATCTTAAGCCATACTGACAACCTTTCATTTATTCTGTTTATTTTCAAGTTAAACTTTTATATAACTTCAATCTTTCTTCTCCCAAATAGTTTCCTGAACATTTTAATTAAAATGTTATGATGTATGCTTTTGCAAATCCATAGTTTCAATAGTAAAGTAAAATTTGCAGAGGTTAATGTAAGAGAATGTTCCACAAATCTGATTTTTATAAAATGATCACTGTATTTAAATAAAGTAAAATTTAATAGTTACAAAAAATTAACACGGGAGAAAAGTTTTCTCTTTAAACCAATTCAAAATGTTTAACGTGATCACAGTAACAACAGCTCTGACAGAACACAGGGGTCTGACTCTTATCGGTAGGTAAGTATTCCTGTAACAAGTCATTCTCTCAAATTAAGCAGTTTTATGAGGGGAAAGAAGTCCTCTTAACAGTATGTTTCTACTCAAACCATTGCTCACACTGTGTTGAATTCCTAAAATAACTAATTTTAAATTCCATTTAACTAAGTAGCAAAAATTTAGAAACATAATAAATAGTCTTTCCACAAAATTTTCCACAGCTAGACGCAATTTCAGCAATCTGGAGGCCTAATTACCATTATTTTAAAAGAGATTTTAGATACTTTACTAAAGAGAATGTTCTCCAACTCTATTCAGGTTAATACAAAAGATGTAAGGTCTCCATCTTTTTTATGCCTGAGTAGTATTATATCGTATACATATACCACAGTTTATTAATACATATATGGGTTAATGGGCACTTGGGTTGATTCCATATCTTGACAATTATAAATTGGGCTGTGATAAAGAATCTAGTGAAAATGTCCTTATGATAAAATGATTTTTTTTCCTTCTGGGTAGATGCCCAATAATGCGATTGCAGGGTCAAACGGAACCGTATTTTGAGTTCTTTGAGGATTCGCCATACTTCTTTCCAAAGAGGCTGTATTAGTTTATAGTCCCAACAACATGGAAAAGCAAGTATCTAATGTACTCAATACTAATATGAAGCCAGTAGAAGAACTAATACAGGCCCACACAAGAGAAAAACTCAGTTTGATTCAAGCTGGGGGAAGAGGGGAGGAGCAAGGGGGAAAAGGAGAGGAGGGAGGGTGTTTGGTGTGCTCTCACCTAATGGGTACAATGTAAGGGTACACAGCACACCTCTTGGGTGAGGGGCACAAGTAAAACAGAGACCTTACCTAACAAACGCAAACACTGTTTGATCTGAAATCTAAAAAATTATAATAATAAATAAAAGATATTTTGGAAATATAGTGAGAATAGACAGCTTTTACTGAAGTAATTAAATTTACAGAGCAGTGATAAAAATAACAGCAAAGTTGCTTCTGGATCTCTTAATGAAAGAATTTATCTTCATAAGACAGTAACTCTGGCCACTCCTTTCACCCTTAGCTATTGTACAATTTATGCATGTTGGAAAGATTGCTGAAAAGCCAAAAGTTCCAGGATTTTCATCGAGTTTGTCCACCCTTTCCATTCCTTATCCATTCCTCCAGCACTCACTGAGAGCCTCTGCCTTGTGTCTCCCAGACTCTCTTTTGGAAGTCTTTGCCAGGAGTCATTATTAGGTGGTGATACAAGGTAACACTTATTCTCAGTCCTGAGTTTAAGCCCTTCCTTGTTACCATGCAGCTACTTGACTTTTACCAACCTAATTAAGATTCCTGAGCCCCAATTTCCTTATCTAAATAGAGAAGGATGTGGAGATTTCTTTCTCAATTTCAAATGCTGTCAATTGCTTTATAAACTGTAAGATTGAAAGACTATAATTATTTTTTAGGCACATTTAATATTATATTAATGCAACTTAATTACACTAAGTGTCTCCAATTGCCTAGGGTAAAGTCATATTAATTACCCCAGGATAAATTCTTGTCTGCTATGATATTCTTTTATTAAGTTGAAATCTATGTCAATTCAGGCAAGGCCCCACAGAGCAGGGTGATTTTACTGCACCATACATATGCCCAGTTTCCTGCTGCCTTCTTAAAGGCACTCTTTAAAACCTTGACAACATTTCCTCTTCTGCCTTTATGAGTACTTTCAAAGTCTTAAAATATTTCAGGCATAGGGTAAGGACTTTGCAACTGGGCCTTTCAGTGCCTTTTACCACATAGTTAACTACCTAAACAGGCACAGGGACATTATACCCAAACTACACATTGCCCACATATTTTTATCCTTGAGAATTTGAATCAATGGATTTTAGGTTTCTTATCTTTCTCAGAGAGAGAAAAAAAAGGGTGATCCCAGGAATTCAGATATAAATAATACATTTCATTTACAAGAATGAATTGCATTAATTATCCCATGCCCATTATATTCTATTCATTATTGCTTAAATATAAAATGTAAACTTTATTACATAGATACTTGAAATATATAGGGAAAAATCAACCACCATGTTAAAAAAGAAATTCTACCATGTAGATAAACTACAGTCTATCTTTAACTGACAATATTTCATCAACTTCTATAATTTCCACAGGCAATCTAAACCCTAGAATCTATTTTAATCTGTGGGTATAAAATAAAAGCATGTATAAAATAAAAGGCATCTCTAATGACTAGAAACATGTGATTAAAAATGGAAGGAAAAATACTAATATTTAAGATGCATACACCAATGGTAATTGGAAAGAACGTGATTTTAAAATTTAACAGTATTTGTATCAAAAGAATAATCACCACTTCAACTCTATATGATGAAACAGATTCTCCAGAAGATGACTAACCAGTGATTGACCAAAATAACTTATGAAGCTTTTTGGACTTTTAAAAAACCTATTCATAAAAAAATAGAGGCCCTTTAAGACAATGTCAGTAATAATTATATTTCATAAATCAAGGAAAATATTTAAGATATAATTTAAAAATAATAGAAAACCTTAAGAGATTCCATCTCCTACATGAGACACAAGGGGAAGATATTTGATACAAAGGACTTTCATTCACTGTCAACCTCTCTCTTTTTTTAAGATCAGGAAAATTTCGATGAAAGGCAAAAAGATAAACCACCACATGGTGAGTGGACAATTTCAGGATTGAGAATAATTCTGAAGCTTATCCATTAGCTTTATTACAGTGTAATTTATTATCATAGAGTTAAGACAACAGCTGGAGTTTTCCAAATTCTTATTCCTTGAAAGAATAGCTTATTCATCCTTATTTCTTTCATGCCTTTGTGGACAGATTCCTCTAGTGAAGGTTATTATTTTCTATTGATCTACTCTTTTCTAGTCCAAGCAATTAATATTTGACATACACAAAAATATGTTTGCTTTACAGATATAAGCATTGATCCACTTCTATCATCTAAGTATCACAGCCTACAAATTAATTATAAGATGACAAAGAAAACAACTTAAACACTCTACCTCACACGACCCAGGGAAATGAAGCACAACAGAGATACTTGGGTTGATGTTTTAAAAAGCCTAATGGGTCATTTTCTGTGCTCTTCATGCTACCAGGAGCTGACCAACCAGTCCAGAATTTCTTTCTTTGATTAAGGCAGCAATAATGATAGCAGCTTGCTTTAAACTCTCTTGTAGTTTCTGCTCATCCTGAAAAGAAAGGATGAAACAATAATTATTTTAGAAAGAAAAGATGTCCCATGTTGAATTTGATAAAGAGCCACTTTTCAAGGTCATCATGGAATCTGCCGTCCGGATTTGGCATTTTATAAAGTCAGACCTCGACCACTGGCATGGACTCAGTCCGCCAAATAAAGAGGAAATGCTTTTGCAAGCACTTTTCATTACAGGCCCAAAAAATATCTGCTAAGGAATCAAGGAAAAGCACTGGCACAATTTCAAATGCTAACAGAAAGAAACAAAAGATTGTTTTCCCTTAATCTGCTCTGACAAACTCTGGCTCTTCAGTGAAGTGTGAATATTTCAAGGATGATGCACGGCTTTTCTCCATATCGTTTCTGAGTATTCTCCAACTTTGCTACGAACTGTATCTGAGCACTGGTGTGAGGAGAAAAAAAACCTTGCTTGCTGTTTCTGAAGTGAGGATCAGGCAAATATGTGAAATGAGTTATTTCACAAGTTGCTTCTGAAATCATATTGGCCATGAAAATCTGTTTCTGCTAATTATTCAGGTTTCTTGAAAGTACAGGGAGATTCTGTGAAGGGAAAAGGAAAGTGGAAAAGCGCTAATACTCTCCGGGGTATTAAAGGGTAGACCCCCTCGGGAGACCCTAGACCCTCTAGGTCTCTGTGCTGTGAACTGAGACCTGTTCATGCTATCAACACTTTAAAAAGAGGGACCCGGTAACCAATTTCTAAACTTCGGTATCACCCTTAATGCCTTATCCCATATTCCAGTGTATCACCAGAAGGACGTATTGCTTCTCCTTTCTTATTGTTCCTCACATCCATGTATACCAGGCTGAGATGTTAAGAATAAGGCCACTCAAAATGCCCCGCCCCATAACACCTCTGTCCTTAGTTACTGCAACACTCTCAGGAACAGTCTCCCTAAAGCCTCTTCCTCTCCAACTCCATTTCCTATACAGCAGTCAACATACTTATTTTAAAATGAGATCTGATCACATCACTATCCAGCCTAAAATCCTCTGGTTAATACCTTTAAACCTCAAGATAAGGTCTGATCCTTTACCTGGTAACAAAAAGTCTTCTACCTTTCCAGCCTCTTTCTTGACATTTTCTTAAAATCACTCAATTCTCCTAGACACACGGAAAATGGCTGGGAGAATGGTATTTTTCTGTGCTTGAATTCTTTCGCTCCAGCTAATCCCTTTGCCAGAAAAGCTTTCCCACACCCATCCCAGTTTAGCTGACCCTAATTACTCTTGGTGGTTCAACCCAGGTATCAGTGACTCCTGAAAACTATCCTGACTCCTATCTTCCAGCCCAGTTTGGGTGGGGCAACTATGTTTCCACAGCTGTGAATTCCTCTAGCACACAGCATTTTAATAGTCTTTTTAGTTAACCATTTATTCTACCAGATAAGCTTTTGATGTAAAGAATTTTTCATTTTAGTTTTGAATATGGAACACTTAGCTCAATGCCTAACACATGGTAGCACTCCATAAATCACACCAGGTTTAAGGAAAGCAGGCTCTGGCCGGGATAGAGATATAATCACCCTTTGGGTTGAATTGATTTGTTGACATTGACTGCTATTTGGTTACTTTGTTTACTCCTATTTGCATATTTTGCCTGAAGCCTGGCAATAGTACAATCATCAATCAATCAATCCATACATAAATAAGGAAGCCTCATCACTACCAGTAGGCCTCCACTGTCTAAACTGGGTTCCTCAGCTGTGAGAGTGAAGGTGAGAGACCACCTCTGCTTAAGCTGCTTATTCCCATCAATTTATCTGATCATTTTCTAAAGGTGGAGGTGGGGAAGATCCTCCAGGAACTGAAGGGTGGCTGCTGTGGTACTTGAAAGTGGGCTCTTCATATTTCAAAATTGGATCTCAAATGCTGTTCTAGTTTTCAGAATATCACAATACCTAAATCACATATAATCAAATCACTCTAAAGCTAATATGTTTTGGCTGAAAATATGCTTCTTTAGATAAGAGTAGATATCATCTATATCACATTATTCATAAACATAGAAATAACTATTTTAAAACTGAGGAAAATACAAACTGACTATTGATATGCATTTGTCATGCTCATTGATCAATTACTTGTACTGTAGGGTCTAAAATACACCTCTACGCTCAAGTCTCAATTATTAAATTGAGACCGAATAAAGGTAACAATAAAGAAAGCGTCTCCAATCCAGTTTTTAGTTTTCATAATGAAAACTGTACAGAAACAAATGAAGGGATTAAGGGAAAACTGTTTAAGATCCCAGGGCTCGAAAAATCACATGTTGTACCTTAACAAAAATCTTTTATTCTCATTTTAATAGCTCCCTAACTTACATGTACTTAGTTAATAAAGATTTAAGATTTTCTTTTGCATATTAATTTACTTCTGCAGTTCTTTATAGGCTTTATTTTGTAAAGTTAGAATTCTGTGACAAGTAACTATGTTGTTCCATCAAATATCTATTTTCCACCTCTGCTTGAACTTATTAATCCTTTTACCTTGAAAAACATGGAAATTAAAAAGCTGACTAGACAAGGTAGTGAGAAACATATAGTAACAAAATTCCAGTATGTACAAAGATCAGATATTCATGCAATTTGTAGATTTGTAACTCATCTCAAAATTTCATATGTCTAGAACAGTACTGATAACACAGACAGAAAAAAATGCAAACTCAAATAGATCTTGTAAAAGCATTTCCTGCTGCCAGAAACATGCAAAACACTAGGTTATTTTGTTGTTTTGTTTTTCCTTTTTCTTTTTTTTTAAAGTTCAGGTTACTGTGAGGGTACAAACAACTAGGTTATAATATTTGCCTTTGTTAGACAGAGTTCCTCTTATAGTTGTATCCCACACCCCAAAGTTGTGTTATTAAGTGAGAGCACACCAACCCCCTCCTTCCCTCTACCCCGTCCCTTATTCCCCCTCCCTCCAACTTGAATTGAACTGAGTTTTTCTCTTATTTGGACATGTATTATATCATCTATTGGTTTCATATTAGTACTGAGTACATTGGATATTTGGTTTTCCTTTCTTGTGATACTTTACTAAGGAGGATATGTTTCAACTCCATCCAGGTTAATACAAAAGATCTAAAATCTTTATCTTTTTAAATGGCTGAATGGTATTCCACGGTATACAGAGACCACAGCTTGTTAATCCATTCCTGGGTTGGTGGGGATTTAGGTTGTTTCTACAACTTGGCAATGGTAAATCAAGCTCCAATAAACTCAACTAGTGAAAATGTCTTTATGATAGAACTATATCTTTTTCTTCTGGCAGATGTGTTGCTGTAAGGGTCTCACAGAAAAGCAATGTTGCAAAGAATAAGCACGCTTATTGAAATTGTGTTTTAAATAAAGGTGACCATCTGCTCGCTCAGGCAAAATGGTGAGCCTTCTTTATTTGCTGTTGGTTTATATAAGCAATCTTGTGCATGCGCACTATACAGCAATGACCTCACTAATCCATTTAAACATCTTATGACCACCCGCCCTATAAGTAGCTCCTCTCTAGTAATCTGCTAATCCACCCAACATACACCTTTAAGCATAACCCTTTCAACATAACCAGGTTTAACATAACTTAATGAAGAACATGTTGTCAGTTATTACTTTCTTTGATCTTATCTGATGAAGCATGAGCCTATGGGAGAAAGAGGCAATTTGAATGTCTGTTTTACTGACCATGCCACTTGGAGGCAGTTACTTAAAATTTTTAAGCAAAGCATAGAGAAATTTCTTGGGCATACAGGAATTTGTGTGCAAACCTCTGCTCCCATTGTAGGCCTTAGGTCAGAATGTTTTTGCTGGAGCCTTTTATAAGGAATTGTCAGGCTGGACTTCTCAAAAGCCTTTCATGAGCCCGGGTTTCATCTGTGCCATTAGATACCTATATGTATTGGGTAAATTCCTCTTCTCTTGAGGTTCCCCTAGCACATTACCATTCCCAGACCCATCAGCAAGCGACCTTCATCACTTACCACAGATCAGGAAAGGTTATTGATGGGTACCTACCCAGTTTTCCAAAGGGCTCTTTCATTGGCCTTATAAAGTCAACCCTAATTCCTTAACACAGTCTGGAAATGCTATTCCAGCCAAAGTCTTTGTCATGTTAGGCCCACAACCAACCTGGCCACATGGGATTCTGCCTCAATTTCTTACAAGTATGCCTGCACAAAGTCTTTTCACTGCTCTCTATCAAATGGCTTTTTTGGCCAGAGGCATATAGGCATTTCTATATAGATGCCTAGTAATGGGATTGTGGGATCAAATAGGAGGTCTAATTTGACTTCTTTGAGGGTCCTCCATACTTCTTTCCAAAGACATTGTATTAGTTTGCAGTCAGTCCCACTGCAACAGTGTAAAAGTCCCACTGCAACAGTGTAAAAGTGTCCTACATCTACAACTTTGGGACTTTGTGATATGGGCTATTGTCACTGATGTTAGTTGATATCTCAGAGCGGTTTTGATTTGGATTTCTCTGATGATTAGGGACAATGAGCATTTTTTTTTTTTGCAGTTTTTGGCTGGGGCTGGGTTTGAACCTGCCACCTCCAGCGTATGGGGCCGGCACCCTACTCCCTTGAGCCACATGTGCCACCCAACATTGAGCATTTTTTTATGTGTTTGTTAGCCATTCATCTGTCTTCCTGAGAGAAGGTTCTATTCATATAGCTTGCCAAGTGATAAATGGCATTATTTGCTTTTTTGTTGTTGATTGAGTTTTCTATAGATCCTAATTATCAAGTCTTTGTGAGATTCATAACATGCAAATATGTTTTCCTGTTCCGAAGGTTGTCTTTTTGCTTTGATTGTTGTGTCCTTAGTTGTGCAGAAGCTTTTCAGTTTAATTAAGTCATATGTGTTTATTTTTCTTGTTGCCTTTGCCACTGAAGTCTTTGTCATAAAGTCTTTTCCCAGGGTGACATCATCGAGAGTTTTTCCCGCATGTTCTTCTAGTATTTTTATCATTTCATGTCTT